TACAACCATGGTGAGCAGAAAAGCATCTCAGAATACACAACACATCAAACATTGAGATGGACGGGCTACCACAAACTCAACAGTTGAAGATTAAGAAAAAAAACAACCTGGTCTTTTTCCAGTTTTCAACTGTCCACTTTCAGTGAGTCTGTGTTCATGATAGCCTCAGATTCTTGTTCTTGGCTGACATGAGTGGAACCTGATGTGGTCTTCTGCTCTTGTAGCCTGTCCATCTCAAAGTTTGATGTGCTGTGCATTCTGAGTGCTTTTCTGCTCACCACAGTTGTAAAGAGTGTTAATTTGAGTTACTATAGACTTGGATCAGCTCAAACCAGTCTGGTCATTTTCCTCCAAATTCTCTCTCATCAACAAGGTATATAAGCCTGCAGACCCTCCACTCACTGATGTTTTCTGTTTTTCACACCATTCTGTGTAAACTCTAGAGACCAGTGTGTGTGAAAATCTCAGGAGATCAGCAGTATCTGAAATACTCAAAACAGCCCATCTGGCAGCAACAACCATGCCATGGTTAAAGTCACAGAGATCACATTTTTTCCCCATTCTGATGTTTGATGTGAACATTAACTGAAGCGCTTGACCTGTATCTGCATCTGATTTTATGCATCGTGTTGCTGCACATGATTGGCTGATTGGATAACTGCATAAATGTGCAGGTGTACAGGTGTTCCTGTTAAAGTGACCGGTGAGTGTATATTCTTGTAATTTTTGTGACCATTACTGCAGTCAGTAACCTACCAACTGTAAAAAGAAGTTGTGTCTGAATGAATGCATTGCTGAGAGGCATAGTAAGGCTTGCTGCTACAATATTCATTCAAATCAACTCCTTGTCTTTTCTTTAAATGCAAAGTGTGCACTAGCAGTTCAGTGCAGCAATATTTTCAAAGAAGATAGTTAGACTTCACTTGAGAAATTTGCAGTGATCACATTATTAACTTGATTATCATGACTAGGATTCGTTCTGCATCCTTTTCATGATTCATACATTCAGAATATGTTCAGGAGTGTTTGTAATGGGCCACATTATATATACTTCAATGTCAAGTGGGTCAGACCAAAAAAAAAAAAAAAAAACAGTTTAGGAGACCTATAACACCTCAACAACTCTTAAATGTGTTAATATTTTTCTTCGTTTATCTGAAAAGTCATATTAACTTTGGTAATTAATTCATTACCAAGATAGTTTCCAAATTATGGTTTTACCATACATGGTCTTGCATAACAATTCACCCCCCCTAAACCTTTGGCAGGGTTTAGTGTTGACTGACTAATATGCCTGAGAGGTCCAGGGATGACATGCAGAACAAAAGATGGAATAACCATATGGAATAATGGACTAACCAAAATGACAGTCAGAAAATGAAATAAACAGGGTAAGAATGGGGTTTGCAAATTATGGACAAGGTTCTTGTACACTGTGATGGTAAAAGCTATTATTCATTCACGTGCATAGCGGAGCTGATTAACTTATAGGTACATAATTGGTAAAGTGCTCTTCGACACACACATAAAAACATTCTTATTTTCTTACCTGCCATAGGTATTTTTGACTGCCATACATGACATACTGTGGGGCAAGGCTGTAGATCATGTAGCTGGTGTGAAGTACAATCAGGAGCAAGATCATGCAGAGGAAAAGCAGGGCCTGTGGACGGGTTCTTTGCGGCCTGATCTTGTACAACTGCCCAGACACACACACACACCAAAAAAACAACAATCAGAAATTACTTATTACAATATGTTTACTTATGGAACAGATGAAATGATGAAAAACAGATGAAATCCCAAAGCATAATGAGTGGTTAGCAAACAATCTGTGGAATGTTTGGTGTTGTGGCAAAATACCATATTGCACAACAATTATTTGTTACATGAAAAGTTAAAATGTTAAATGTGGGGATGCTATTTTGGAGAGAAGGTGCCACGAATATTTGTTAGCAACAGAAGAAAACATTGTGATCTATCACTTTCAGCTGTAGAAGAAATCAGGCAAAGCATTAACACGTTTTCTTCATAAGCTAAATTAATTCAGCCATTCATACATTAATTGTAGGCCTGATGTCACTTTTATCCCCTACTGGGCTTAAGCTTGATGACAGGTGTTGTCTATTAAATGGGTTACAACGGTTTTGAGCCGTTTAAAAACATTTTGCCAATTTAAAAACATTATCGATGTCAGTCCCATGCCTACTTTCAAAGCATAAACTACAACTTTTAAGGCTGGTAGCGAACTTGTGCCTTATAATTTTAAACTATGCTATTTGTATACCTTCTGCAAGGTAGCTAGAACCAGAAAATAATTAAAACGTATGTTGCAATTTCTATGTCCATTATATAAGTTATAGAAATACCTACTGGATACATGGAATTTTACAATTAAACAGTCTTGTTTCATTCAAAAAGCCATTAAAAACAGGACAGTAGTCCTGGCATTGTATAATGAAGAAGCATTAAGACAGGTTTACAAAAGTGTGTATACCAGTTGGATATAATTATTACTATACTCATGTTTCTTGTGGGGCCCTAACTAAAAAGAGAATATGAAATAAATGCAGAAACATTACCCTTATCCAGAAAAACCATATTCCCATATTACGAATGCCTGCCATGGAGGTGAACACAAAGTACATTGTGATAATGGTGATCAACACATAGTCTAGAGGAAAAACCTGAAAAAGACAAAAGAAATTATCTGTTTCAGACATTCTCTAATGCAACAAACTAACCATATAATACCAATAAACGCAGCTGTTGCCAGTCAGCAATGTTTGTGTACAATACTCCCTCATTAGTACAGTAAGCTCCAGAATTCTTAAAATGAGCAACAAATACTATACAAAATGTATATGTATAAAATGTATATTCTTTTGTAGTAAAGTAGTGAATTCCTGTTAAACACTATATAATTGCCTGCACTGTCATTATTAATATTTCTCAATAAGTTGTCAATGCCAATCTTCACAAGAGACCTGGACCCTAGCCAGGTATAAATACCTGTGGTACATAAATTTGTACCACAAAAATGGAAATGCAAAAATGTACAAAGTAGGCTAGATCGTATGTACGGCATATCTAACTGGAAATGAAGAGACTATTTTTATTTGTTGCTTTCAAAAATAAATGGCCTATTTTTATGCACCTACATTCTGAAGCAATGCATTACCATGTCACAGTTCTTATGATTTTTACAGCATCTGTAAATACAGCAAATTCACTGACGAAATTGGGTTGTATGGTTGACGGTTTGAATTTCATGTTAAAATGATCTAATTAGCATCTTTGGTACCATTTTGATTCTCCACAACATTAACGTGCAACATTTTACTCAAAACATCATGGCTAATGATGCACATTTTTGATAATCTGAAATACAAACTGACATCTATCGCCTTTAGTGTAGATAAATATTAACCGTTTATACCACTATTTATATGAATATATGAAATAAAAATTTAAATCAAGTTTCTGTTGATTCTAATAATTTAATGCTATATTCCACAAACATGGCAAAATCATTGTGCCACATGTTAGAGATTACAAGGATTAGGCTCTAAATGGTTTCTGTGGTAAAACATAGTCAGGCCCATAAGTATTTTGACAGTGACAAAATTTTCATAAATATGCCTCTGTACACCACCACCACAATAGATTTGAAATGAAGGAGTCAAGATGTGATTGAAGTGTAGACTTTTAGCTTTAATTCAGAGGGTTCAACAAAAATATTGTATTAACTGTTTAGGAATTACAGCCATTTGTTTACATAGTCCCTCCATTTTCACAGGCTCAAACGTAATTGACTGCCTGAAGTCTGGAACCCATGGATATGACCAAATGCTGAGTTTCTTCCCTTGAGATGCCTTTACTACTTGTTTGTGGGTCTTTCTGCCTTCAGGTTTGTCTTCAGTAAGTGAAAAGCATGCTCAATTGGGTTGAGGTCAGGTGACTGACTCGGCCATTTAAGAACATTCCATTTCTTTACCTTAAGAAGCTCTTGGGCTGCTTTCATGATACATTTTGGGTCATTATCCATCTGTACTGTGAATCAGTACAGATGGATAATCGGTTTTGTAAATTTGACTGAATCTGAGCAGAAAGTATAGTTCTACACACTTCAGAATTCATCCTGCTACACATCATCAATAAACACCAGTGACCCAGTTCCACTGGCAGTCATACATGTCCATGCCACAACACTGCCTCCAAATGTTTGACAGATGATGTGGTATGCTTTGGATCATTAGGCTTTCTTTTATTAAAAAAAAAAAAAAAAAAAAAAAAAAAGTTTTTTTTTTTTTTTAATCTGGCCTTTCTGTTCTTGAGCATTACC